AGTGAACTGCCAAGCTGTTCACACAGTGTTTTGTGTCAAGAGGGGATTCAGAGAGTCACAACTCCATCTAACCAGCACCAGTCACGTTATAAAAATAACTGCAATGGAAATGAAACAAGCTGAGTGGTTATTCAACGTAGCCCAAGTGCAGCGTGGCCCTGCACCAGAGCCCACGGTCAAGAGGGGATTCAGAGAGTCACAACTCCATCTAACCAGCACCAGTCACGTTATAAAAATAACTACAATGGAAATGAAACAAGCTGAGGGGTTATTTAATGTAGCCCGAGTGCAGCGTGGCCCTGCACCGGAGCCCACAGGTTGTCCCACTTTGGCCACAGCCAAAGCCCACTGGTGTCTTCTATGGGGTTCAGTGGGCTTGGAAGCATGCCCAAGAGATGTGAAACCAGATCCTGAACCACTCCTGGCGCTCACAGAGGGACTGGGGGGGGCTCATAGCAACAAATCTGAGTTTCAGCAGTCTCATCTGTGCAGGGAAGACAACAGACCTCTCTCCACCCCCTCGTCTTTCCAAATCACTTTCTTTCAGATATCATACCTGCTCTACTCACACAACAGGACTGGAACTGAGCAACACGAAGTTCCACACCAGATCTGGCTCTGTTTCCACTGCTCAGGGAATGGGACGCATCTAAACTCCGGTAAACTCAACCTCGAGAGCCAGCTCTTGTCTCTGCCTTACTGAGGGGGTGTGCTTCCATGCCCCATTTGTTCAGCAGCAAAACTGTTTGAGGAGCTTCTAGTTCCTGGCCACTTGATCTCAGATCAGCATACTTCACTTAAGGTCTCCCAAAAAAGTTATTTTGGAGGTTCCCCGTAAGGTGGATCAGTAAACTGGTCTAAGGCAAAAATAATCCCCCAAAACCAGTAATAAAGTATTTTTAATGTGGATCAAACACTGATTTAATGTAGGTCCCAAAAGTCTCCTTAAGCTGATTTAACCAACAGGAAAAAAATACGGGGATGTGAATATTGAAGTGAACACTCCAGAAATTCAGAACAGCAGTGCCAGATGAGATGAAAGGTCTGGTCAGGTCTGTCACCTGTCACTGGCAACAGCTGGCAGCAGTTGTGGAGGGCAGTGTATAACAAGAGGGTAAGCAACAACAGTACTTCCCCAGGACACGCTCCCACCAGTCATTGATTCACAGCTCAGGAACTGCCACAAACTGAGACCAAGAGCAGCAGGGCAGCTCCCCACACGCCAGCAGGTTTTGCAGTGAAAACCTCACAGCATGAGAAAGTAAACTCCGTTTTTTCCAGGGTGGGTTTGCTGCCTTAGGAACACGGCTACACCATTTTCAGGATTTCTTCCCAAGTCTACAGCTCTTTACTAACGGATAGCTTGAGTGACCATAGCTAGGCTGTTTCTTCACCTGAGGGTAGCACTTCATCTCTCCTTATCATAAGGCTACTATCCTCTCTTTGATATGGCTGTCTCTTCTGTTGAGAAAATTAAGAGCCTGTGCTAGACAGAAAACACATTCTTCAGCCTTTGTGCATCCCTGACAGCCATATGAGAAATAAAGGAAGCTACAAAAGCACTCCCATAGGCAGTCTGTGCATAAACTCCTTCACCAAACGCTGTGACCTCTGTAGGGCTGCGTGATGCTCACACGCACTCCCAGGCATGGAGATGCCAGTCCCAAAGTGATAAGGGTTATAACTGCTACTGCAGCGCTTGGCTTTTCCACCTGTAGGGTTGGTTGTGGCCCCCTTCCTCGGGCAAACCTCACGTGCGGCAGCACTCCTCAACGCATCCAGTCAAAATAACGCTTCAGGTCCCTGTCCCTGCCACGGTTACTGATCAGTTGTAAACTCAGGCAGTGACTTTGAAAGCTGCACTTGCAGAGGACTGTAACAAGTTGGTGCAGTGGCAAGACAGAGCACTGTTACTAGAAACAGAGAAGCCTTCCTGCAAAACTGGCATCACAGACCAGACTTTTCCACAGGTATTTTACACATTATAATCACTGAAGTCAGGTGTACAGGAAATCATAGAATGGTAAGGGTTGGAAGGGACCTTAAAGATCATCTGGTTCCAAGCCACATAAGAAAGCCTCTCAGACCACATTAGAAATCTTCTGAGGTATTAAGCTTAAAATACACGAGCATCTTCTACCACATATGGCTTTCAGGACCCGGGCCTGGGAAGTACAATTTGTTCTGTTTTACAGACACCCTGAGGAACAAAGGTACACTCCAGGTAACACCAGTACTTTGCAACAAAGCGGGGTGTGAATTCATGTGTCCTAACCCACAGTCTTGCCTCCTAACCACCGCACTGCTTCTTCTGCAGACATAGGACCCGTTCCTTCAAGCCTCCTCTGAAAGTCTCCATAAAGCAGCGTTTCTACTCAGACCAAGGGTACAATGCTTGCAGGCCCAGACAGGCTCTCCACTGATGTTCTTAAAGTCGTTTAGTGTACCTCAGCTACTGCTGTCAGGCTTTCTAACAGCTGGTTCAAAAGACCTTTTACAAGAAAGGTGAGGTCTTCAGCTGAGTCATCCTCATGTCAAACAGACAATCGGGAGTATTTTTGCTGACTTCCTCTGACGTCAGACCAAGTCCCGTTATCTCTAAAGCAGGAATACAAAGAGAAGTCTAACGTTTCTGTGAGACAGTGGGGACTGCTGACATGGACATCTGTGTTATCTGAGGGCTTTGGGACAGGAAAAAGAGCTGTGTGTCAGCTGTTCTGTAGTGACTGCTCACGCACATCCTCATTTATGTACATATTACATGTATATATAGCATACTAACAGGCAGCAGCAAATTCTGTCTGCCCCTTGCTTATGTGCAACATTCCAACTAAACAAATATGGAAGGTGGAGTGCTGGGACCATGTCTGGGCTTGGTGTGCCTCGAACAGTGTCATCTCACCCCGAATACAGGCCTCAGGGTGTGATACAGTCTGGCTGATAGACCACACTCTTCCACGCACACACACAATAGTTATGACTGATCAATTCGCCTCTCTAGGCATTCTGACTACACGTATAATTGTGCCCACACAAAACAGCACAAGGACTGGAGAGACCAGGACCGCCTCTTAATCACTTAATCTGATTAAAAGTCAGAGCAAAACTGCAGCCGTGGTTTTCCACACAGCATGATGCCACCACCTGCAAGTGAAATCACCCTCGGGAGGTGCCTCTCCGTGTTGCCTGTGGGTGGAGCAGGGGCCTGCAAGCATTCTCCTAGGTCAGGGACCTCAAAGAAATCACTACGTGAGATGGGACAGACAGTCTTGGAAGATTTCGCAGCTTGGTGTTGCTTTCATTAAAAGAAGAATTAAAAACAACATCCCAAATTACTCGGATCCAAAAATTTGTGATAAACACTAGACTTAGTTTGAAAAGTTTATGAAAAATTCAATTTTCCAGAGATTCATTTTGAGAGATCCTTGTACGGTATTGATATGAAACCAGAACAAAATCAAAAACTTTTTGCGTGTTAAGACAGAGGGGGTTGTGGCCAGGTGAGCTGAGTTCGCTGCCTTAAGAAAAAAACTACAAAGGCTGCTCCACACAACACGGAATTAAGACAACTAAATTATGCTTTATTTGTGCCATTTGTTATTTTGGTCTAAATGATATGTGAATTTTTTTTTTGAGTAAGAGTTTTATATTCTGTGTGTGAACACTTCACTTTCAGATTGATTACTGCAAGAGAAATGTATACAAGACCTCACATAAACATCAGAATAAAACCACTGTGCACCAACACTAGCTATTTCACTTTACCTGTAAAGAGAATTTATTCAATAGATTATGTCAAAAAGAAATAAACAGAGAAGTCTGTGAGCTATAATTCTGAGAATCTGTAAAGGATTTGAAGGATACTCTTTAGGAAGGACAAGACATGACATTGCTAACACATTCCAAAACTAAAGCACACAGGAAGGGGTAGCAATCTACAGAGTCTTCAAACACAGTGAATGTTTGCACAGATCTCAACACACACAGACCGAAACTGCTAAATTTCAAACTTTTCAGCATATGTTTCACAAGCTAACAAATGCAACACGCCTGCAACTTTCTGTGGCTTCTCATCACGGCAGTTGCATGATCCTTGGTGGTGTTCAGGAATCCCAGAAGCCATCTGGAACCCCCTGCTTGGGATAACCCTCCATGTCTCAGTTTTTGAGATGTAATCTGCAAAGCTATCGCCACTTTAATGTTTTGGATCTGGGCTCACAAAGATTTTCTTAACCAAGCTTGAACTAAATTTTTGTAATTAAATCCTCAGGAATGGATCTTATTCCCACCATGATGCTTCCTCCCTTTGTTCTTTCAGAATATGAAAGCAAACCATTGCCCTTCAAAGAGACTTGATTTCCGTAACCGTGCTTATGCAGACATCCTTCATATCGTAAACAGCTATTAGATCTTGGTCTCTGCTTCTAGGAGAGCTTTATATAGGTTTTATTTCTCAGTAGGCTTCATCAGTGATAAAGTTCTGGCACTACAACTGTGAAGTGTCGTAACAGCTACTGTACCGTCTAGAAGCAGCACAAGTGGGCCTAATTCAAACCAGATATCCATTAGAACTCACATTTATGTTTAGGTGACATGAGAGAGAGAGGCTGTATCACCATATGGGGGCTGTGATAATAATAACTGCCCACTACTGTGCATTCTTATCTCCCCTTTTTGCACTTCCATTAGTCCCTCTCATTGAAAGCCCACCTCAGCTTGCAGCCCAGAGCCTAACTTTCCAGTTCAAATTGCAAGAACCGTGCTGGCTGCCTTCCATGCTCAAGTCCAGTCCTTGGTACCTGCCAGGAGTAGTAACCAGCAAATGAAGATACTGTTTTCTCTCTTAAGTGCCAAGAGATTCAACGGCGTGTCTGTGTCTGTGAATTCTGGTATGTGCTGCCTGCAATGTTTGTTTCTATATATTCCTGCCAACTGCATGACTTCATTCAGCTGCATGATATTCCAGACAACACAACACTGAAAATAAGGCTGGCACTTACCTGAGCTGCCAGTGCCTTCCGATGCACTTCTGGATGTTTTTGGCTGGCTCTGTTTGCTACTTGTTCGTACAGTGACCGAAGGAGGAACAGTGCTGCTGCTGTCTCCACGAATCGTCGAGAGATCCTGCATGCTAAAGCTCCTTAGTCTCTCAGACAGGGCCCCCTGTCCCTAGTTAAACAAGCAAAGAAATAACATATACATAAAAGTTAAATGCCACAGTGCATTTTGAGCCTTTCTCCTCCCTAGCTCTTTGAAATCCTTTAGGACAACAGGAAAAGAAAAAATTGCCTGGTCCAGTAACCTGGAGAGGACAAAAATGAGTTGTTAAAAGCATCATTTCCCTCTCTTTGCTCTTCATTTTGGAGTGGTTCTACACACAAAGTCACTAAAACTTTTGACAGCCATCATCTCTGATTCTTCAATGCAGTCGTTTGAGCTCAGAGCAGCCTTGGCCACATCTAAAGGAGCAAGAGAAACGGTTGAGTTTCACCTGCAAGAGCATTAAGGCAGCTGCTCCTGCCAAAAAGGCTGCATCACGGCTGTAAATCAGCCTTTAATGCTTGAGGTAAGGCTTGACTATAGGCCCATTTAGATTATAAACTCTTTGGAAATGAGTACTGTTAACAATTGTACTCTGAAACTGGCGACACAAAAATTTGCACCAAGGGAAGATGAGTGTCGATAGTGCAGGACAACTTAGTCCTAGCTAAACAAACTTAGCGTCTTTCTTCTCCCTGCTCTTTCTGGCGTTGAGAAAACGTGCTCGCATTACACAGTCAGCTCTCTAAGCTACCAAAGCTGCACTTACAAAGGAGCATTTTAAATGGCAGGCCGTTGTCTGAGAGTGCATTAATGCAGCTATTGCCTTGGAGACAGAGAAGGGGCAGCCTGTGGAGACAGAATGAACCCTCTGTGAGATAGAGCCTCAGCATATCCCTATTGACATGGTCCAAGGGACTGGATTATGTCGGGGGTGGGGGTGGAGAATAGTAAAACAAGCCAATCTGAAAGACAGGGCACGGAATTTGAACAAGATCAGTGTGACTTTGGGCCCAATTTGTAAACATATTGGACTGATTACTGTTTTGCCATCATTAAATGACTTTCCTAAGACTAACTCATGACTATTCAGCACTTAAGGATTCAGTGATTCTTTCTGTAAGTAACACTGAAGTCAAATCCACAAAATCAGGTCACCACCCTCCAGGCAGTAATGCTGCACGGCACCTCAGGTGCAAGGCAGCGGGACGGCACACACTACTACTCTGGAGGTGACACGAGCCTTCAGCGATGGCTGCAGCACGGTGGCAGCACCGTTATCCTTCAGTCCCTCAGCTGCCATTCCCAGGCTGATTGCAGTGTGCAAAATAAACAGAAAGCACAGAAGATGAGAAGTAAAGGGGTTACAAAGGTCTTTTACTTCCACCAACACGAGATGCTGCCAGGCTGGATTTCTGCTTTCTCCCTAGACGTGCTGCTTGGCAGCCTCCTCCTCTGGCATGCCCAAATCGGAGGCCTCCCCAGGCCTCCCCCTCCTTTCATCTGCCACCGGGACAAAATGCAGAAGTGATACGGCTCAGCTCTTAGCAACCAAACTAACTGGCGCAGCATTGAAAAGCCCACCGGCAGCTAGACCGTGCACTACACTCCTAAGTTTGTAAACACAAGCAACACTGAGGACAGTGGGACATTTTTTAAAACAGGGTCTAGCACAGACTGAAGCAGGGAGAGTCTGTTCAACCCTATTTCATCGTGCCAGGGTCTGCTACTGGGCTTTGTAGTTTAGCCCGCTCATCCCAAACCCAAGCGTCCTCTCCACCAACAGAGAAACACGTGCCAATCCTTAGGGAACCGGGCGAACCAGCGCTGGGACTGAGGAAGGTTTGCTCTTGCTGGTTTCCCTGTGGTTTTACACTAGTGCTGGGGGACACAGGGCAGAGTTGCACCAGTGCAGCAAGAACAGTGCTACATCCTCTAGAGCAGAAAGGACTGAGATTTTTCTCCAGAGAAGCGCTCCCCAGCCTTGAGTAAAACAGGTCAGTAAGGTGAGGAGCACCACAACACTTGCCATCAGCACACACACAGCTCACAAACCCGCTCACAGCCTGGCCTTCCCCAGACTTGTTCCCCTGGTGTTAGGAAACCCAGTGAGTAAGAGCGGCAGGAGCAAGCCAGGCTGGGGAACGCAGCCATGCCCGAGAGGGATGTGTGGGTACGGGGTCGCAGGAAATCCAGCACTCACCTCGGAGGAGTCGGCACACTGAGCAACACGTGCACACTGAAAGAGGAGCTGAGCGTTAGGAACTCATCAGGCTAAGCTGTCTCTCAGAAGACACTTGGTATCATCCTGAGGTGGACTTCACGGCCCCCATGTGCGTTAAGAGACGATCGTCTCCATTCACCAGCACAGAGCACAGACTCAGGAACGTGCCTCAGCCCAGGCTCTGTGCCTAACGGGTGTTAGGGCTGGGATTACGTACAGCTCCCTGGCTCTGTTCTCAGATCAGTAAACAGAAATAACTCCTGACAGAGGGGCCTGGGAGCGTGGCTAAGCAATGGGTAACACAGAGCAAAAGGCTGTATGATAATAAACACAGGGTGCAATACTGGGACTTGTATTGCTACAGGCCTGGATTTTTTTCAGTAGATTTAGACTTCTACAAGCACTGGTGCAGCCATTCACGCAGCTTCTGCAGGAAAAATATCCACAGATCCCTGACCTTCCTAAATCAGGAACGTGCTGAGGAGTCCTGCAGGAATTACATTTTGGTGAAACTGCTGTAAGAATGAAAAGCAAGCAAGGGAATTGCATTGCACCCTTCAGTGCAAATGCAGGTGATTCCCAGCTGTTCATAAAATCATGACCTTTACACTTTCATCTTGTGGATAGCTTGTGTTCCAGGAAACAGCCTAGAAATAATTTCCCATTTGAGCCTTCAAATTTAAACCTCACAGTAGCATCAATGACTCCAGATAAAAAAATCTTTTGGAGAAAAAAAAGGTTTGAGCTCTGTGTGATTTCTTTGGTCATGATTATCCTGCACTGTAAACACTGAAAGTTCTTCCATAGTTTCACAGTCATTTTAAACCAGCATAAACCAGCGCTGCTGCTGAAAGCAGATGTCCCATTCATTGCCCCTCGTGCTCTGGCCTCCACCCTCCTCACCCTTTTGCTGATGTCTGTGCTGATGGTCAAGAGCAACCTGGAAGCAAGGAACAGCATTTAACTTGGACCAGCTCCCTGGTTGGGGTCAGCATATAGAAATAAGATTTAAACATGTGCAAGGGAAAGGACAGTACGGGGCACAAGCCAGCAGCTGGGTCATACCCTTTCAACAGGAGTGCTGGCACACACTGTCTGGATGCTGCCATGAAACTACGGCCTTTGCATAAAACAGATGAGTCTCAACCAACCTCAGGAGATCTGCTGTGGGTTTAGCCTCTGATTTTACACAGAAGGTAGCTGATCACATATTTATGAAGGTTTATTCTCGGAGAGCTTGTACAACACATACCTAGTGCGTTGTTCTCACACACCTTTCTGCAGTTTTTCTGGTTGGTGAGGACTGACCTATCCAGACATACCCTGAATGCTGATATTCCCCCACTTCTGTTCTCTCCTGCAAAGCCTTCAGCACTTCAGTGCAAAACCAGGAAACAGCATTGACTCTCCTGCACAGAGGAGTGGAGGGTATCAGAGAGCACACTGCGCATTTCTGCTTTGAAATCATTCCAGCTGAGGATGATCTCTGCCTGGGGTAAGCTTAAGCAGAAAGGGCACTCGGTCTGGGCAACACAGAGGGTGGCTCCGTCTTACGTACCCTCTGGCCCAGACAGCGTCAGCTCTGGACACTGACCATCCCGTGATGCAACGCAAACCTCCTGCTGCTGAGGTATGTCCCACTGACTCACCCAAAAGCAGGGCTGGCCTCCAGTGCCCAGCCCACTCTGCAGGTTTCCACTGACATCAGCAACTGAGAGACAAGTTTGCATCAGCTGTGGGATTGAGCTATGTGATACAGTGGCCAATATCCCACTCTAGTCACACGTGTCACTCACCAGCCACTGTCCAGGATGCTTTTAAGGCAACACTGTAAGGTTAAGAAGTGCAAAAGCCCCCCACTGTTAATAAAGACATGTCTGTATGTGGATTTTTACTGGACATTTGCCAGAACGACAGGGTTGCCTTGAAAAATATTTGGAAATGTTGTTCTGGAGCTTCCAGTTTTCCATAACAATGAGTAGCCACACAACATTTACAGTTCCCAAAGGAAAGGGTGGTTCTGCCTGTGGAAGGAGCACAGGTTGGAACATGCAATGAAGCTAAAACATCACAGGGTGCCAGGACACTGAACTGAGAAACACTGAACTAAGAGCAAACCAAAAGATCAGATAAAGAGGACAGGTGGCGGGCCTGCTACCTGGAGGATGGGCAATCACTGTGTTTCCACGGTGTGTGTCAAAGCAAGGAGTGCACGTGCTTCACAGGAGCAGCGGCGATGCCTCACGTAATGCGCTGCGTGTGGGGTCAGCAGCCACACACAAAGCATGGCAAAAGCAGCCTTTGCCCCTTCGTGTCGTCTGCCTGTGGCTTGTGACGGGGTGTGAGGAGGAGGAGAAGGGTCTTTCTGTGGGACAGGTGTGAATACACCTGGAGCACCTGGAGCCCACTAGACACTGAGCAGTCCTGCGTGTGTGGACGGCTGTCCGCGTGAGCAGGACTGCTCAGCGTATAGCAGGCACCACTGAAAGACAGCAAAGACAGGAAAAGGTAGAGGGGGGGGAAAAAAAAGCGGCAAAAGGTAGAGGAAAAGCAGGGTTAATTTCCCTTCTCCGAAAGGCAACGCTTGCATATTCTGTTTCTCAGCTTCATAAGATGGTCTTCAGCAGGCAAAAATAAACCTTTGCTGTGTCTGCTCGTGGTCACTACCAGTGAACTGCCAAGCTGTTCACACAGTGTTTTGTGTCAAGAGGGGATTCAGAGAGTCACAACTCCATCTAACCAGCACCAGTCACGTTATAAAAATAACTGCAATGGAAATGAAACAAGCTGAGTGGTTATTCAACGTAGCCCAAGTGCAGCGTGGCCCTGCACCAGAGCCCACGGGTTGTCCCACTTTGGCCACAGCCAAAGCCCACTGGTGTCTTCTACGGGGTTCAGTGGGCTTGGAAGAATGCCCAAGAGATGTGAAACCAGACCCTGAACCACTCCTGGTGCTCACAGGGGGACTCAAGGGGGCTCACAGCAACAAATCTGAGTTTCAGCAGTCTCATCTGTGCAGGGAAGACAACAGACCTCTCTCCACCCCCTTGTCTTTCCAAATCACTTTCAGATATCATACCTGCTCTACTCACACAACGGGACTGGAACTGAGCAACACGAAGTTCCACACCAGATCTGGCTGTGTTTCCACTGCTCAGGGAATGGGACGCATCTAAACTCCAGTAAACTCAACCTCGAGAGCCAGCTCTTGTCTCTGCCTTACTGAGGGGGTGTGCTTCCATGCCCCATTTGTTCAGCAGCAAAACTGCTTGAGGAGCTTCTAGTTCCTGGCCACTTAATCTCAGATCAGCATACTTCACCTAAGGTCTCCCAAAAAAGTTATTTTGGAGGTTCCCCGTAAGGTGGATCAGTAAACTGGTCTAAGGCAAAAATAATCCCCCAAAACCAGTAATAAAGTATTTTTAATGTGGATCAAACACTGATTTAATGTAGGTCCCAAAAGTCTCCTTAAGCTGATTTAACCAACAGGAAAAAAATACGGGGATGTGAATATTGAAGTGAACACTCCAGAAATTCAGAACAGCAGTGCCAGATGAGATGAAAGGTCTGGTCAGGTCTGTCACCTGTCACTGGCAACAGCTGGCAGCAGTTGTGGAGGGCAGTGTATAACAAGAGGGTAAGCAACAACAGTACTTCCCCAGGACACGCTCCCACCAGTCATTGATTCACAGCTCAGGAACTGCCACAAACTGAGACCAAGAGCAGCAGGGCAGCTCCCCACACGCCAGCAGGTTTTGCAGTGAAAACCTCACAGCATGAGAAAGTAAACTCCGTTTTTTCCAGGGTGGGTTTGCTGCCTTAGGAACACGGCTACACCATTTTCAGGATTTCTTCCCAAGTCTACAGCTCTTTACTAACGGATAGCTTGAGTGACCATAGCTAGGCTGTTTCTTCACCTGAGGGTAGCACTTCATCTCTCCTTATCATAAGGCTACTATCCTCTCTTTGATATGGCTGTCTCTTCTGTTGAGAAAATTAAGAGCCTGTGCTAGACAGAAAACACATTCTTCAGCCTTTGTGCATCCCTGACAGCCATATGAGAAATAAAGGAAGCTACAAAAGCACTCCCATAGGCAGTCTGTGCATAAACTCCTTCACCAAACGCTGTGACCTCCGTAGGGCTGCGTGATGCTCACATGCACTCCCAGGCATGGAGATGCCA